ATCATATTTACCAGGTTGAGCTAATTTCCAATATTACATACAACAGCAGAACATGAATTTTTAAAATCTAGACCTATTCTAGAAATATATTTCAAGACTGCAAAATTACAAATTAACAAAGTTTAATATTTATGTAAGATGGCATATTTGTATTCAATTAATCACGGCCCACGGCGAGGCAAATGGTCCCAAACGCATATACTTTGCTGTTCTGTTTACCGAAAATTATAAATCATGAGATGAAAATTGATTTAGCACATTATTCTAATACACGATGATAACCGCTTGTTTTCTCCTTTTAAGCAAGCCTCACCTAAGTTTTTTTTAAAGAATTGGTTTATAAATCAGTTGCGGTTGTTCCATCTACAGGGCATGGGGCACTTATACTAAGAAAAATTCAAACGCTCGCGCGAAAAAAGTGGGACAACTTAAACAAACACGTCCTACACTATTTGATAGATAAACCAATTTGATATGACTCTGATTTTTTTTGCTCGAAATTCTGAAAAATGGCTCCTCTCTGACCATTTTAAGGAAGGTACTAGTGAAAAAGTTTTCCAGCCATGATTGATTCGTGGAGAAAATGTACAAATTAGCTACGACTTTAGATGGACTTTGGAAAAGTTTTAAGGGCAAGTGGTAAAAACATGAGCTTCCAAAATTGTCAGGAAGTGTTTTCATCAAAGAAAAAACGTTGCAAACTTGTAGCCCAGAATAAGGGGAATCATATCGAGCAAGTTAATTATCCCAAAAAAACATCATATATAGGTTAGAACAATTTTTAAACACCTCTCGGTATAAGTGACCCACTCTCTGTATAAGGGAGTTTAATTTTTGTGTACAAACTTGATTCTGACAAATTCACGAATTTCTTCATCAGCGTCGTTCAACGTTTCGGCAGCTACGTTAAATACGCTTTTAAAACAATTTGTAACTTGGTGCTGTTTCGTTTGTGCTCGATTTTTTTTCCTACTTTATGAGGGTTTCCTACTTTTTTCCTACTTCCCACTGCGTTCGCCCTACAAATCGTGCCCCAAAGTTTTGTGGGCAATGTCTTCAGCAAAAATAGTCTTCCTTCTTCTGATGGTGAACACAAGGTCGGATTAAATCATCATGTGAAATGTTTCTATATGGACTTTGCAGAAGGGTACACATCTTTCGACGAATAATGAAGACAAGGCCATGCTTCGTCGAATGTTAAATCTTGACTCTTTAAGTAGGTTCGGAATTAATTTTTGTACGCATTTTCCAACCAAATTTCAATCCATATAAGTAGGGTTGCCGCGGGTAACGGGTCGGGTACCCGTTACCCGCATACCCGCACGATTCATGCGGGTACCCGTTATCTGCGGGTACCCGTTATCTGCGGGAAGTGAGAACTACCCGCACGGGTAACGGGTAGTTCAGTTTTTATTTAATTTTCAATATAAATCAGGTCACAAAAAACTTAGCAGCAAGTTAGTTAACTTACCAACAAAAGCGTCAATTTATTATTTATAAAATTCAAAATTTGCTATATTCCAGCAACTAACGTTTATATCGAGCGAGTCTTTTCGGAAGCCACAGAAGCCTCAAATGCTTTTCACGTCCCGAAAATGAGGAGAAATTATTGCTACTCAAGTATAATTTGCCTGCTCTAAAATATCAGTAATACTTTAACTTGTATTTAGTTGTGCGTATCTATGCAAGACTGCCGAGATATTAATTTGAAAGGGAAAAACCTGAATCCGATTGAAACCAAAAATTTTACTTGCAGACAATTTTTTTAAATCAAAATTTTATTTAAATCAAAATTTAAAAAAATCAAACTAAAAATTAGCCTTTTTTCAAGCTACACTACGACACACGATGGTCTAGGGGGTCGGCGGAAAGTACAAACCGCTCGTTACAAATCCCTCATTTCAAACCGCTCATTACAAACCCGGCTCCTTACAAACCGCTTATTACAAACCCGCTCAATACAAACCCGGATCATTACAAACCCCGCTCATTACAAACCATGATCATTATAAACCCAGGGCACATAATCCCAAACATTAAGTTCGTAAAATGTCTAAATATTCAAAGAAGTGTTCCCAATGTTTTTTTTAAATAGTATTTCATGAATTCATTTTAAAAATTCGATTTTAGACTTCTCAAAGGAGCGAACTCCCAAATGAAATGAAGTGTTACGGACATAGAGGTGAATAGATTACGGAATAACAGAATACCTCACACTGTACACTCTTCATATTTTCACACTGTGATTTCAAGTACAAATTAAGTCCTTAAAAAAATATAACTACTGTAAAAAATCCTGGATATTCACAGGTGTACGCTCTTTGGCTCATCACTGGCCGGAGAACGTATATGACGCTACCATATGTTTTACAGTCTATGCACGTTTATCCTCCATACTGGATTGGTAGTAATTTCCTATTGAGTTGGTGATAGTCTGTTTCTGAATGGTAAAATTTTCAAAAGGTAACGCTCGTTATTACCATACCAGACCGGTCTATGTACATATGTATGTACTTCGGCCAGTAATGATTTAATCTCAGTTTCCTAAGAGTGTACTTCCATTGTTTAATATTTTTGGGACATACTACTCATCCATCTTGTGAATGAATTGAAGTGATTTTTATAGGAAATTTGAAACAAACAACCTGGGGCACTAAAAAATTGATCATTTTTGGCAAGCCAGAAATTAAACACGAATACATTTCTGCCCTTCTCCCTCACTGCTAATGTAGCTTTACGTTCGGAGATAAAAAGTTTGCCCAAAATTTCATGTTTTATATACAAATTAATTCATGCAATCCGATTTGTAAACATTTTGAATATTTGATTATTTTACAACTCACCACCTTTTCGGGTTTATAGTGTCCAGGGTTTGTAATGCGCAGGGTTTGTAATGGGCGGGTTTGTAATAAGCGGTTTGTAAGGAGCCGGGTTTGAAAGGAGCGGTTTGTAATGCGGGGTTTGTAATGAGCGGTTTGTACTTTCCTACAATCGTCTAGGGAGTATATCAAAAAGTCAAGCCAAAAATAAGGAATCGCGTGATACCTTCCGTCGAATGTCCACTTTGAAAAAAAATATTTGCGCAAAGCTCAATTTTTAAGTAAATGGTCTGCACCTTTTTCCTCCACTGGACGCAAACTATGATGGACTTTGAACTCTGCCCCCAATAGTTATCGTTAATCGGGCTATTCAATGGAAAGTTAAGTGATAATTCCTAATTTTTGAGTTGATTTTTTTATATAATTCGCTAAGAGATTCAGGTGTAGCTTGAAAAAGTTTCCATTCTAAGCCAAAAATCTGGTTTCAGAAACATGTAATGGCATCTAGCAAATTATGGCATTCGTAACTTGCACAGCATTATCTCAAACTACTGAACACCCCAAATGAGCAAATAATTGATTAAATAAAATTTATTAGGAAGGTGTTAGGTTTTAACTTAATTCTTTATAACGGGTAGCGGGTACGGGTCGTTGGGCTGCGGTAACGGGTCGGGTAACGGGTAGCATTTTCGCTACTTGCGGCAACCCTAAATGTAAGTATGCTGTCGTTATAAAAATAGGGATAACCAGGAGCCTATACAATGCCTTTTCGTACTTTGACGTGACCGCAAATTGCATCTTTAGGGTAACAACCTTCTTTTTGCGGTAGTACACTACCAAAGTGTTAGTAAGTACACTTGGAAAATTGTGTAAGATTTTCCAGGGTTGATTGAGAATATTAAGAATATCGAGAATATTATTATTGAGAAACGACCGAACAGAATTTTTCATTAACATTAGATCAAACCCGGATAAACGACGAATTCACTGGGAAGATTGTTAAATTGTATCCTACCGTAAAGAAATTTGATTTCGTGGGGTGTGGTGGACCCAATCGGATAACTAAGGATACTAACCGAATGTTAGACGCGTTTCAAACGTGGGATCTCGAACAGGTCAAAGTTCGCTTGTATGGTATGCGGGAGTCGTCAATTCTAATTTCAGTCCTCAAAAGCTTGTCTTGTTGGAAAGGTAATCTTAATCTAGAATGTCATAAAACCTGGTATGCAGGACGTGTTTTTCATTTGAAAAAGTTTAGCAAGAACGGAAATTAGAAACTTTAGTAGCAGTTTGAACTTGATTTTGAAAAATACTCCCATTTGGTACCCTTTGCAGTGAATTTTAAGTAATTTCTGTGAAGGGGTAATTTAATACAAAGCAAAGACCATGTCGTTTAGTGAAAAATCCTTCCTGAGTACTAGGCTTAAGGTCATGAAATGTAGCTGGTAATTATAGCTACACTCTATAATCTTCTGGTACGATTATTACCGGCAGAGGTACTATGCAATTCTACCACGTGGTGACACCATAACAAATTGCCTCTGGCGTCGGTAATATTTTTATTAGCAGAGGGGTGACATTGTGGGCTGAGCAAGATTTAGGCTGTGTGCATTGGTTACGTTTCTGTGGTAAATTATGTATTACCAAAGCCGTAGAATTGCATAATACCTTCTCCGGTAACAAGCGTATTTGAAAATTATTGAGAGTGTACAATTATTCCGAAAATACATAATAATACCTTATGTGTAAACATTTATATATTTAATTTACTACAGAATTATTTGTTTCAGGCGTTAAACGTGTCGAATTTATGATCACTAGAATCCCAGAGCAAGACTTTTTTTGCCACCTTCAAGATTTAATCTTTCACAGCAAAGCGTTTAAAAGCGTGGAAATATATGGCAATGAGGTTCGTCGGAATAATACATCATTTATGTACATATGTACCTAAGTTATTATTGTTGCTTATGTACATCTCCCTCATAATAAATTCAGGAACCGGAAATGCGGAAAAGAATACAATCCATATTCGAAAGCAGTGGTGCTCCAATTCACTTTTCTGGAGGCGTGATTCCCGACCCCAACCTAATCAATGGTTAATAAAAATCACGAATAATAAAACATTTTGTTTAAACATTTTTGAAAAAATTGGAAAATATATAAATCCTACTTTAGTCTTTGTATTAATTAGTACAATCCTGTAATAAAATTTTGACTTTATTTCTTGACCATGGCGACACGGTATATTTACAAAGAGCAAATAAACTAAGCAATAATTAGCCAAAAACTTGAAGAATGAAAGTTACAATGATCTACATACAAATATTTTACTGTAAATATTTACATAATTTATATCGAAGAAATTTCTTATTTTGCAGATTTCAGACAACTCAAAAAACACTTTGCTGCATATGTTTAAATATTTTCAAATCCACATTTATTCCCGTCTTCTATTTAATATAACCAAACTTCTCCACTAATCACACCCAGTACTTCAACCTTCAACAAAATTTTGACCCCTACTAAATTCCCCCGATGCCTTGATATCTCCCCAAATTCGGAAAAATGGCAGCTACCCGGTCCCAAAATTCGGACGAATCCCTCCACTCAAAACACTCGCAAGAACCGTAATCCCCCCTCCCGCACTCACAATCCGTTTCCGTCACGACTCTAAACCTGTCCCCGGGCGGGAACGGGACATCCAACCGTTTCAAAGTTAAACCCTGCCAGTTACTTTCGTGTAGGAAAAACCTGTACAAAAATGACACGCTGGTTTCAAAATATTCACGCTCCGTCAATATATTTTCCGTATCATCAATCATTTCCGGTTTTGCTTTCGAAATCCGGATCGTCTCCAGGACAGGGAATTGAACCTCGTAATTCAATATCTTCGTGGGGTCACCCCCCTCAAACCGGAAACCTATCCGGGGCATAACTACCGAATTTTTATACTCGTCCCGATCCGTACACTGATTTTGTGCAAATTCGAAAACCCTTAATTTTGGCATTATGGGAAAATCTATGGCATCATAAACGAAATTGCAGAAGACTTCGAACGGAGTAATATTGTGGATCTCGGAGAATTTGACCTTTTCCAAAGTTCCCGCCGTAATTTTGAGCAAATTGGAGAAACCTGATGAATATGTGACGGTTTCATCACCCAATTCAAGGCATGTTAGATGACTAAAAGTCGGCTTAATGGGGACCTCAATACCGGTATTTATCAAGGTCAAAGAGGTCAAAGTTGGCGTGAACTCGAGCAAGGTTTCCATGACGGGTTGACTACTGCCGAGGAAGGAGAGGGAGTTCAAATTAGGGAATAAGGGCATGAATTGGGGTGTTATTGTGCGAAATATGGTCTCGATTTGGGCGATATCTTCATCCTCAAGAACTCCGTACGAGCTGATCTGGAGTGTTTTAACTTTTACGAAGAAAGTTCCCGTTTTTGGCGGGAGTTCAGACTCGTCGACGGAATTTTCGTCCCAGGGCCAGAGGGATACGCATAACTTGAGCGTGGTCAGATTTGGGAAGGTTTTTGCCAAAGATTCCAAATGTTCGGACCACGAGGAGTTCGGAAGGACGAAATCTGTCTTCAGAATTTTTACTTTGTGACCACATATAATTTCACGAATTTGAGCGATATACTCGAATTTATGGAGACGAAAAGTATGAGGGCAGTTTCCTCGTGTAGTAATGATGTTGTGGGCCTGGGTGAGATCTTGTGGGGTGAGGAAAAGGCGGGATAATGGGAGGAGGCGTTTCCGGATTTCGTGCTCCCACGTGGTATTGATCCACGTGCATGAGAGGAGGTCCGACTTGGGGAGGAAGGTGGTAATCCTGGCCAAAATCTGGAAATAATATGTGTACCGTGAAATGATTTGTTCGTATCATTTGCATATTTGAATATTTTGACACATTTAGAAATTTTGATACATTTTTGAAATTTTGTGCAGATTTTCTTTGTTGAAACTTTGTAGCCCGTACCGTTGAAAATGAGCAACGAGATTTATGCAAATTATGTAACACGCATAAATAATTATACGAGGGAGTATGACAGGTTGGATATTTTTCCACGAGGCCTTATCTAATGTTCTGCATGAATATTTAAATACATATGTAAATTTTTACCTCTGGAAGTGAAACGGTGAGATGTGGATTGACGTTGTCGTGGTCACCATGCAAATCCATTTTGGCATAAAAAATGCGGCGAGGGACTAGAAACGTCTTTAAAAAAAGGTCAACTTAAATTCATTGACGTGTTAAAACTTATGTAAATTTTTAATTGCAAACCTTTCATTTAATTATTTCGCCTCTTGATTTTGAAAATGCGGTATTGCAAGATATTAAAAAAATTATTTTTCAGTAGAACATGGTTCCTCGACTTGTCGGTTCATCCACTGGGGGTGAAATGCTGCCTACAATTAGGGCTCGTTATAAATAAATCGTTCTGGTGAGGAGAAATGGGTGCATTTTTTTACTACAGATTTCTCACATCCGTTTCTTTAAAATATCAAAAAAGCACAAATATGTATGTACAATTATCTCAATTATTTATTGTGGAGCTAATGGCCTCCCAAGAACTTGGTTGAATTGTACCTTTTTTAAACAATGGATTAGGTTCGTGAGAATTCTAAAATTATCGAAAAGGGTCATATTCCTTGTCACCAACTAAGTACCTACAAACATAAGTAGGTATCTACATACACAATAATTAACTAAATATACCAATTTCGGCGTACCCACAACAAGGTAGAATTTTGGATCGAACCGATGTATGTACCTTTATTTAACAAATTTTCATAGTTCACACAATTTACGTTGTGACTCAATTCGCAAAATATGATCAATCAATTAGCCTCCCAAGAATTTTAGTTGAATGTAATTGTACCTTTTTCTAAACAATAGAGCAGGTCGTGAGAATTCTAAAGTTATCGATAAGGGTCATATTATTGTCACTAGGTACATACTCTACTTACATACACTACGATTTATGTACTAAATACTAGGGTTGCCGTTTTTATCCAAGATTATCCTATCCGATCGGATAGGATAGGATACATGTTATAATAAGTGCCGGATAATGTGGGATTATCCGATCGGATAGGATAGGATCGGCAACCCTACTAAATACCAAGAACAACGTCGCATTTTGATCATATGTAGGTACATAACTATCTTTGTTTAAAAATTTTCAAAGCTCAAAAACTTGTGTCGTGACGGGATAAAAATATGAGTTCGTAAATTTCGCAAAGACAAACACTGTTGACTGTGTTATCCTGTTTTTATTTAATTTCCATGACCTACGTACATAAATACCTGCACCTTCAAAACCTTTTAATGGAGATTATGAAATTGCGAAATAAATACGTTTCCAATTTCTATTTAAATTTATAAAGTATGCATGTACATATGTAGATAAAGTACGAATTATTTCTGGAATAAGTTTTTAGGTAAATAAGTTTTTAGTTAAATTTGTATAAAAACGTTGGAGGCTAAATATATACATACATTGTAGCAATGGTTAATTTAAAAAAGTTTTTTTTATGGTAATTCGTTAAATGCGAAGCTAACATGTATCTACATATGTAAAATAAATATACGTTGCCCATTTTAATCTCAATATACGTATTGTCCTTCATTCAGCTTGTCTCCCCGGCGGATTTTCTTGTACACCGAATTGTTTCTCCAAACTGGGTAAAGCTTGTCCTTGGTCATCTATATAATTTATAACAGATTACTTTACATATTTAAATATTATTTAACTACATAATACAAATATTCCTCTACAAATGTTTGTTTCATCAAAAAATAAAATCCGATTCTTACCGGCAAGTCTAGTTTGTCGTGTTGGACCTGATTTGAAACAGCAGTAGTCACGACAGAAGCAAATCAAGTTTGGAATGCAGATAAAGACGACGACAAAAGCCACGACGATGCAGATAATAATAATCCAAGCAAGTCTGCAACAAGGGTGACGGATTGATTATGTTTATACATTCTTAAAAATAATGTTACCCTTCTAAAAATGTAATGCACTCTGAATTTTACACGATGTAGACTATACTAAACTTTGGCATAGTTAAACTAAAGAGAATCCAAGAGACAATTAAATAGGTTCGTTATTTATTTATGTAAAATTGTTCGAAAAAATGAAAGTCTTTGCAGAAAGACTTATTAGAAATTTTCTGCGGCTTTGTGTATGTGCATCTAGTTTTTATGTAGTTATTACTATGAAATTCGGCACAATGATTTCTATACACTCCAGCAGGTCCAACTTTCACTGCCATTACGATATTGCAGTATATGAAATCTGTACAATTTATTAAAAAATATTCTTCTCGAGTTACCCCAGTCCGTGGTCATTCCCAGAATCGATATCGTAATAGTCGTAACAAGTACCAGCAACGCAATAAGCACAGTACGTCGGACACGATGACGATTTATTTCCTGTCCACACTGATTTTTCGGTTGGCACGTCATTTGTATCAGCAAACGTCGTTGTAACGAAAACCAACAAATTCAGAACAAGCTTCATCGTCCTATTTTTTAAAAACGGGCCTTCTCTGCAAACTAATTTTCCGTTAATTAATAGGAAGGTTAATATCAAATTGAATGTTGTTGTAAATGACAATTACTTCACAGATGCGCAAAATGTTTACAAGTTGAGTTATCTCTCTGGCGTCATGAAAACTGTTTATCGTAATCATCATCCAGTCTGCATGCGTGCATTTTGGATTATGTATTGGTCATACTCTGTAAACCCCATTCGTGGTAAATATGTACACGAAAATAAGCTTATAAATGAATTTATTATGACCATGGTTTCGCAAATAAGTATTTAAACAATACGACCAACGCACAACACCAAGCTAAACATTCCAAAGTCGCCATGCAGATGAAATGAACACAAGCACTATTTACACTTTTATAAAACGTGTCTCCCTTTTGAAAAATAAGTTCACTATGGAATCTAAAATTTAGACTAGATTTAGATTTAGCTTTAATTTTAAACTTAATTTATTTAGACTAAATAAATGAAGTAAGTTATGCTAAATTCAAAGTAAACTTTGCTCCTTAAGAACATAGCATGCATCAAGTGAGACCAACCCCACCCTGGTGAGGCGGCTAGATGTGTGCATTGGGTGATTCAAAATAACATGCATTAGAGCCACCAAACACTGGTTACATTGTTGAGCTTACAGTAATCATTGTTTGGTGGCTCCGACGGCTGCTGGCTGGTGTTAACCTACCTACTCTAATGTTAACCATCATGTATGGCTCAAGCAAGGCGGTATTGATAAATGATAATTGTTACCGAGTAGTAACAGCTCGGTATTAAAGTTTCCATATTGAGTGCAAATACGTACAATGTTAATACCAAGTGGTAGTAACTTTAATACCGAGAAGTTTGCTTTTACCGATTTTAAGTATGCCATACATACATAATAGGAAACAGTCCACGTTCACATCCCAACTTCACAGTGATGGGAAATCTCCTGCCAGATGGTCATCATAAGTGGCTGTTTAATTTAACTTTTCAGACAAATTATTATCCGTAGTAGAAACACGTATTAGCAGACTATCTTCTTAAATACGGTTGGTATGTAGCTCAGATTAACTTTTACGAAATTGTCGTTTCATAAGAAATAGCTTAATTCGATAGTAAGACTATGGTCGTCCTGAAACATTGTGGTCATACTGCGAAACGAAGACAATTCTCGTTTCTGGAAGGTCATTTTCTTACCACGGCTTAAAATCCATTACAATATTAAGGAGAGGCCTCCTATTCATAAGGACATCTCCTTATACCATATTTACCTCAAAGCCTAAATCCTAATAAAATAATGCCGTATGTAGGAGAACATTTACATTTGAAAAACACATCCCGGAGCATCAAGTAATTGTTATTTATAAATATATGTACTCATCAACGAAAAATCAATTCGAATGATTAATTTAAATTTAAATTAAATCAGCATTTTACACGACACGGTGTTTAAATTTAAAGTTTTGTAAATATGTAAAATTAAGTGTTTTACTAGACGGCGAAGTTTGTTTTGAAATGAGAAATTGAAACCTTATAAACTAAACGATTTAGTCGGAAATGAACATGACCAGAACTGTTTTAAGGATTGATTTTACGCTGGAAATTATTCTTTAAACACGTATTTCAGATATTAATAAACAACCAATCATCAGGGCGATCCTTTAAGATTCCTCTAGTGCTCCTACTCTCCCTTGTGATCAACCGCATCGTTGAAGCCTTAGACTCAATATATGATACCATAGTAATAGAGCTGAATATGTGGTACCACGATGATAGAGCCGTAGCAGTCAATTCTGAAAGCGTTATGGCGGATCTTCCAAAACTTTCAGAGATGATTTCCAGAATACGTAATGAAGTCTGCATCTCAAATTCGGCAAGTGGGAAGTTCGTAGGTGGCGGATCGAGACGCCATTATAAACATCGTTCCCCAGTTTCAACGGGGGCCCCAATAATAAAATTACATGTAATTGTAGTCTAGGGGCCCCCGTTGAATTGCTTGTTTCCAGCCAGTCTGCATTTTCTCCAATGTCAACATTCTATTGAATTATAATCATTTTTATTGACATTATTGTTAATGAATTACTGTGAATAAAACCAATACATCATTGTAGAAACAATTAAATACATATGTACTCTTTCTTTTATTTCGTGATAGGGACACTTATGTACGGCGCTGGTCGTTTAGCTTTTTCGAAATACATATATGTAAAATGATTTCATGGATATGTGCAAAAATGCAATAAAGTATGTAGATAACATTAAAAAAAACTTTTATTTCGCTGTATGGAGAATGGGTCCAATTAATGAGACCAAAGGTTCAACGGGTACCCACAAACATCACCTAATTGCGTGTCACATTCTTACAAATAGTTTAACCCTATTTGAAAAGCAAATGCACTTAGTCAACTGTACAAAATCCAGAGTAGACTTTGCTTTATCAAGTTTACGGTACTCTTGACTTCAGTAGTTTACTTAATATACAATTCAGAGTTAATTTAGGGTTCAAGTGGGCAGCATTATTTTTAAAAATGCAAATCAAATCCTTGGATAATGCCTGGATTGGATTTTTTAACTTATGGAGTAGATAGAATGCACAGGTTAAAATATTTTGAACACAAGCTATCGGAAAATAGTGCCGGTGTGGGGACGGGATAGGTGTCGCTTAAACACAAAAATTGTTATAAATAGCCATTGACATGTGAAGTCTGTTGACAGATCTCCAATGAATTTATTAGGATTTGTCTTTTGAAATGATATAAAATTCTCTATGTGGCAGACGAAAAAAGGTGACTCTTGGAAACTATCAAATTGACTCCTCAATTTCGGGATTTTATTTTGAGCTCATTTTCCAACTGAATTTAACCGGGTTTGAAATTTACTGGATCTGTTGAGCTTGTGCACATTTGTGGATAGTATCACGCTAAGGAATTCCGGTGTTATAAAATATGACCATGCCAACTTGATCTTATAATGTGGAGACGCCTACCCACTATGGCCATTCATTATGAGACGTAATTTATGTCTCATTCCGCGCGCCAAAAACATCAGTACCAGTTATGTTAGCAAGTTATACCCTTTTTTATGAATTTCCACATGCAATTGTCTGTCGCACACCATGTTCCGATTTTTTTCCGAATCGATTTGTTGCAATTTTTCAGAAACATTTTGGTAAACATAAAAATCTGGCATTTTTCAATAGCTCATCAAAAATCGGAACTAATCGCAAGATGGTCGACTGTACCATAAAATCATCCACTAACATTGGCGGTGTTGATAACCGAAAACCGAGTTGAAGTAAAACTATGTCCAAGGCCCTTAAACTCGACCTTGGACTTATGTCTCTTAGATGTGAAGAGAGACACTTGCTAAATTTACGCCAAGTAAAAACAGACCCTTCAAAAGCCGGGCGCTGATCATGCGGTACGCGCTCGAAAAATGAAAATAAATATTTTTGAGAGATAAGCAGACCTTTAAAATTAAGGTAATATAAAATTATAAAGAGGACCGTATCAACACCCCACCAGTTCATATTATACATAAAAATTTTAAAAACAGTAATCGGACTCACCATCCACATTCTTTAATTTCTTCATTCCGCGTAGATTGGATTTGTTCAAAAAAGTGAATTTTATTCCTCTGAAGGTGAAATAGCTTATCAAAAAATATTTTTGGAAGTTATCAAACGAATCGGAGAATCTCTGGACCACACCCTATTGAAAAATAGCGACTGGACATTTGAGCAGGGCTCAGGTCCTGCAAACGAGACCAAAACACTAAACGGGTGATGGAAATCAAAAATTCCTGACTCCATTTCGGACTGAGAATAAAGTTCACTACCGCCGAACCTCAACCTTCTGGAATATCATATGAAGTCCTAACTGAAGCTGGATACATGTGCTAAATTACATAGAAGTTTGAAATCCGAGAAAAAAAATGTCGCTTAGAAATGAAACCAATATGCCCCAAATGAGCGCGTACCGCGATTAAGATGTAGAGACCTAGACTTGTGGCTCTTGTGGCTTCGAAAGGAGGAAATTTGGAAAACTGCTTGGTGTATTTTGTAGGGAATTTAATGGGCTTTCTCCCGATATCGCTATTTTTTCAAAGTTCAATAAACTGAGTCCGCTACATTATCTTGTGTAGTGGGCAGAACTTATAGCAGTACTAGGTATTGTACTTCACACTATAGAGAATAAGTATAAAATGTTTAATATCGATCGGAGATTTTGATGCGCTCTCCCACATGGTACTTAAAAAAATGAGCCAATTTCATGTTACTCACAAATTTGCAAAAAAAGCAAGGCAATCAGATTTGCCATTTTTATTTGAAAATTGCGAAAATCTGGAAAACTTCGCTAATTTTAATTTCGCCGTTTTTTGAAATTCAACAAATAAGTTTCAGTTTAATTGCGCTAATTTTTAGACGATTAATGATCACGGGTTAACAGGTCCCTTAAAATTTAGCGAAAACATGCACCTATATTTTTCCCTTAAGCACACTCTAAACAAAATTGAGTAAAAAAGAGGATGACACAACAGTCGAGGTAAAATTTGTCCAAAATTGAGTAAAATTTGCCCAACGTTGTGCGAACAAGGTGCATCATCATCATAATTTTACTCAATGTTGGACAAATTTTACCTCGACTGTTGTGTCATCCTCTTTTTTACTCAAGGTTGGGCAAATTTAGTACAACTTTTTTTCCCATGCATGGGAAAAATTTTGGTAAATATTTATACTCTTTTTCAATGGATGAAACGAGGAATGGCCTCTGTATAAATGGGCCAAGTGTTTAAGGGCAGTGCAGAAGGTATGCGATCGATTTGGGGAGGGGGTAGTGCTCAAAGCATGTTATCCTTCTTCATATTAATTATAACATGTGGTAAAAAGGCTACACCAGCGGGGTATGGGTCAAAATTGCCCAAAAATCGTTCAAATGCTTTACGTACTGCCACTTATTTACATATCAAAATACGTCGACCGATTTCGTATCCTTGTTGGTATTTTGTTCAGTAAATACTTTCTACATATATCCGTTTTATTTATGTATGTACCTATGTATCTGTATGCACGAGTATCCTATGCATACAAAACGGACAAGAATCTACATTCACTAATCTTCATTCAAAATTTCGATCTCGTCATCATACAATTACCAAATTTGGCAATAATGTGTGGAACACTATCCTACACAAATGACAGGAGCCACGACGTCGAAATGCACCGCACACAATTTCTTTTTACTAAAATGTAAAAAAATAAGGGATTGCAAAGCTTTAGAGCTACCCGGAAAATTTGGCTATTAAATGCATTTGTTCAGTTTATGACCAATTAGAATATGTTATTTTCATATTTAGAACTCCGATACACTTCCGTTAAAAGAGGTTTAGCAATATCATAAGTGGAAAAACATAAAAAATTGGCTACATATTTTAAAACTCAAACTGGGTTGTTTTTTTTAGTAAAAAAGTGAAAAATTTGAAATTTATGTTGCTCAAAACCATTTTAAAATTTGGCGCCGCCGCCGACCCCGGGCAAGATTCCAGCCGCCGCCGCCGATGGCACTATCGGAATGATGTAAAAAAAAATCAAGCCAAAAATTAAGAGTCACGTGACACTTAGCTTCCGGTTGAATGACCCCTTTGTTTAAAAATATTGGTGGTCAAAGTTCGCACTCCTCCCTGGTTTTCACCCCGTGGAGGAAAATGCAAGAGAAAATTTGCTCAAAAATTGAACATATTTAACTGTCAATGTAAATACATAATGTCACCGATATTCCGTTTGGTTTTTGATTTTCATGAAAAATTCATAGCGAACGGAACTGGAATTGATGTTATATTATGCTGCAGCATATCTTGGTGCATGTGCATGCCAAATTTCGCATCTCTGGGACAAAGTTTAAAATTGCACATGACTCCGTGCAAAAGTAGGTAAAAGTGCGTGCACGCTCAAAACCCATCACAACAGGTTTTTTTAGAGAAAGCAGAAGAACCGAGCCCAGCTGCAGTAAAGACATACGTACGTATGTACCTAACGTTGTCCTTTAAGCACAGGAAATACTTCGATCAATACTTTTATGGGACTGTACAGAAAGAACGTAATCGATTTGCGGGGCGAGTGGGGGTCAAGGCATCCTATCCTTCCCATGTTAATTATAACTTGTGGGGCGTATAGGCCATACCGGGGAGGGGGGAGTAACGGTTCAGAAAATTGATCACATGCTTTCTGTACGGTGCTTTCCTTTTCAGGGAACGCATACGCATGTATGTACATGCGTATCCATATCTACATATTTATTTGTACATATGTACCTATTGGGAAACAGTCTGGGTACAAATTCAACCTTCACAGTGATGAGAAATCTCCTGCCAGATGGTCATCATACATAAGTTACTCTTTAATTTAACTTTTTAGACAAATTATTATCCGTAACAGGAACCGGTATTACCAGACCATCTTCTTAAATAACGTTGGTATGTAGCTTAAATTAACTTTCACCAACATAGATAATCAGGGTAAGGAAAACCCCGGGATTTTGCTATTGAAAAACTATACCCAGGGGTTATACCTGGGTTTTGCGGGTAGTCAGGGTTTTGGGGGTATTCGGGGTAGTCAGGGTTTTTGAGGGTAAACTGAGTCAGTGTCTCATGTATTGAGTTCAGAAATTAATGAAAAAAATCAGCTTTTCATTAATTTCTCAACAAGGCCGCTTATTAATTTAATTTTCATAACTAATTAACTATATAATTATTAGTAACAAGCGTATAAGCCCGTCTCCTTGCAGGCGTAAATTTTTACTCTGGAAATGTTTGTCGGCAACGTAAAATATTCCGGAGGGGAAGTGAAAGTACAGAAAATCATGTTTTAATACTCAGCAGATTCTGAATATTTTTAGAATATTGTGAATATTTCTGAATATTTATATCATATTGGAAAGTATCCATGAAACAACCATTCGAAGGTAACTGTAATCCGACTTTTTTTAATTTTTAAGTTAACTTTAAGTTTCGCGCCTTTCGAAACTTTACTTTATTTACTTTCACTCCCGTTGCGGAACATTTATTCTCACTTCCGTTGGTGACAGACATTTCCAGGTTATAATATAGATTCACTCCCGTTGCGGAACATTTATTCTCACTTCCGTTGGTGACAGACATTTCCAGGTTATAATATAGATTCACTCCCGTTGCGGAACATTTATTCTCACTTCCGTTGGTGACAGACATTTCCAGGTTATAATATAGATTCACTCCCGTTGCGGAACATTTATTCTCACTTCCGTTGGTGACAGACATTTCCAGGTTATAATATAGATTCACTCCCGTTGCGGAACATTTATTCTCACTTCCGTTGGTGACAGACATTTCCAGGTTATAATATAGATTCACTCCCGTTGCGGAACATTTATTCTCACTTCCGTTTCTGACAGACATTTCCAGGTTATAATATAGATGCCCGGTTATAGTAGTTTATTAAATTTGAAAACCCCGACTACCCGTGGGTATTGCTCAGATTTGCTACCCCAAAACCCACAAAACCCCAATACCCCAAAAGCCCGGGGTAGCATACCCTGTAGATAATTGTCTTTCATAAGAAATAGCTTAATTCGTAAGACTAAGGTCGTCCTGAAAAATTCCGGTTATGGCGCGAAACCAAGACAATTCTCGTTTCTGGAAGGTCATTCAGTTTAACTTGAAGGCCATTTTCTTTCCGCGGCGTATATAAAATCCAAGGGTGGGTGGGTTGTGTAAAAAAATAAGAAGTTTTTGATTACGTAATATATGGATGTTCCCCAAACTACTGACATATTCTTAGATAACGGTTTGTCTTTTTTCAGAACCCTATTCCAAGCTGAGAAAACTACATTTCTACAAAACAATGAATTCCGAGTCATCCGAGTCATCTCAAAGTTCAGGGGAATCCAGTAGAACGTACACGTGCGAGTTTTGCGAAAAAACTTTCAGTCGGCGGTTACGGTACAATATGCACGTTCGGACCCATTCTGGAGATAAGCGTAAATATATACATACTTTTTATAACTGACATATAACAATTATAATGCATAAAATGAATTATGAATTGAAAATAAATTCGATTAAAAACAACTACATTACAGCACACAAATGCACCAATTCTGAGAAGGCCCAGAAAACCTTGCTACTGGATCACCGTAAAACCCACACAGGAGAAAAGTGCGACTTTGATTTTTAAATTTAATATAAATACCAAAAATCAAAATTTCATCTAATCTATAAATTGCAGATCGTACAAGTGCGTCACGTGCAGGAAAACATTTGCCCATGAAAAAAATATGCTGGAGCATCAAGTATGTCACATATCTATAAAAATGCTTAATTAATTGCGAATGATTAGCTAAAATTAATTCAGTGCAAAATATTTTTAAACATGTAATCTTTTTAATAGCGAGACCACATGGATCCTTACAAGTGCTACATATGCAGCAAAGTATACTCTACGTATTTTGAGCTCAAAGCGCACTTCCGCGAGCACGCCTAAATCTGGCCGTGGTATGGAGAAGAAATGCGATAAAATCTACTCATGCCAAGGCTAATGACTTATTTTTACTTGTGAATTTATGTACGTAATTACGTGTATTAAACCAAAATGTGGAATTTGTCTATGTAGAATTTTTCAAGAAATTATGGATGTTTTTCAAACTAATTTTTGCGTTCTAAAATATATCAAATTACTAAGTTCTTCTTGAATCGCTACAGACACTCCATTCGCATGCAGCTGAACAAGAAACTACGCCCCTGCCAGTCTCAAAGTACCCCATCATCATAACTTAAGGAATTTGAGATTGACAGTGCCGTAATTTCTCAGAAATCTCAATTTCTATAAAAGGTCAACTGTAGGGTTGGTCTATTTTATCCGAAAATATCCGATCCGTCGGATCGGATCGGATAATCATCGGATCGGATCGCAAATAAAAATATCCGAGCACTCTCGGATCGGACAAGACCTTTTATCCGATCGGATCAATCCGACGGATAATTCGGATATCGGATAATCCTCATTTACTAAAATTCCGCAGTTTGGCAGTATTATGCGAGAATATTCTCAACTGAAACACGTATATTTAAATGGCTGACATAATTTACAACGGTTTAGCATAATTAATTTTTGTTTCAGCCATTTTGTCCGCGCATTTATTTCATTTTGGTTAAGTAATTAATGATGTGAGTGAATGTAAAATAACAATTGGGAATATATTAAAAGAATTTTGTCATATATATTTCACGTTTCAAGTTGAAATCAATGCATTAGCCGTGTATGTAAGTGTATCTCTTTGAGATCAAGAAGGGAACCAATGGGGCAATGTAAGGTCAGGTCGGGTAATTGATTACTAGTAATTAGCAATTAATTATTCAATTACAAATTAATTACATTTCTTTATTTTATTATAAAGAGAGTGTTTCAAAGAATTGTAATTGAAGATTAATATGTTAATTGATTTATGTTACAAATGCCTATAACTCAAATTTCATGATCGTTTAAAAAATCTCGCAAATAAAGATTTGATACATTAAGCTTTCAAATTTTAGACTAAAAGTAATTAGTTATTTTGGGTAATTATTTAATTAACGACTCAATTGAAGCAAATCTATTAATCAAATACTAATTAACATTACATTGTCACAAAATAATTAAAGTCTAGCACCAATTAAATTACCAATTAATTTTGCTAGACCAATTAATTAATAATTAATTAATTAATTAATACCAATTAATCTCGATTTTTTCCTGTAATCAATTAAGTAATAAATTTAAAAAGTAATTATTAATAAGTAATTAATGACTAAAGTAAAGTAGCACTTGCATAAATAAGTCTATTATTAATGTTTGCATGGATTTAACAGTGTTTTAAAAATTTACACACCATTATCCGATCCGATCGGATATCCGTCGGATTACTCGGATTCGGATCGGATTGGCCATAATATCCGATCGGATTATCCGACACTATGCAATATCCGATCCGAGAGCTTGTCAATCCGATCCGATCCGATCCGTCGGATGACCAACCCTAGTCAACTGTGAGCGAATGGAAAGTAAGTAGTTTCTTTTTAATAGAGAAATTAAATTAGCAGAACTTGGTTGATTTAATCGGAAGTAAAAATGACCAGAACGGTTTGAAGGGTTGATTACGAGTTATTAACGATGGAAACTATTGGCCTTAATAAATTTGTATGTATATGTATGTGTATGTCAGATAAAAGTAAATAAATTAATAAAAAATATGTTGGGGGACTAGAATTTGATAACTTCTTCTGGGCTTAATTTTTAGCATAGGCGATATTTATGATAATTTCTAATACTCCAATTTTTCGACAGGCGAGATCTCAGGGTATCCAAACCTACACTCAAAACAAAAATTTGTCGAATCAACACCGCCGGTGTCAATATATGACTTAACCGCCTTGGTTACAATGTTGAATCCGAGTTATGATGATTTTGATGCCGGTAGTTATAATGTTATGACCGGACGGAAAAAATTCATTACTACTCGGAATCACAATTGTAACCAAGGCGGTTAAGTCATATATTGACACCGTTTTGTTTTGAGTGTAATAATTGTGTCCAATTCGTCCCTACGCATACGTAAATAAACAACGGAGTATAATCAATCCTAAAAAACCTTCAAGATATTTTTAGTTACGTCAAACATCACTGAATTTTTTAACAATTCATTTTCTCCATCTAATAAGGACAAACGTGGTCAACATTTTAATTATTCTCTTGATTTTTACCTTCCCCAAAATTTGTTGACGTCGTTTGTTCATTACGTCAAATTTAGTCGTCACAAAAGCAGCAATATTGGCAATTTGCACTAATAATTAACAAACTAACATCATAAGTACTTGTATTTGGGTGTACATTAATCTAGAAATTTCTGTTACATAAAGTGAACAAAAAATCGTTTTTAATTTTGTCAAAATTACACAAATGACAAAAGCAGTAATATGGGAAATTCACACTAATAATTCACAAATTAGCATGATAAGTACTTGTCCTGTAAATCTTGTAGTTTCTGTTATGTAAGCTCATTTTTTTTTTGGCTCAAAGTTTGAACCCTAAACACGGTTTTGAAGAAATAAAATTGCGGAAGTGAAAAAATGTAGAACACACGTAGCTTAATTTACTTACAATGCGATGGTGTAAAGTGTAACCCTCCGATTTGGTTGAAATTTTGAAAATAAGTGGTCCATGTCAATACAACCAACGTTTCTTCAGGCGGTTTGTGCGATGGTCAGAATTTGGCAAAATATTTGAGGGTAAAGTTGAAAAATGTGTAATTTTTGGCACGGGAAGAGAATGGAAGTTGAGTTTGCTTCCTCCGCCTGGTAAAAACCGCCCGTTTTTCAACTTTGACCTCAAATATTTTGCCAAATTCTGACCATCGCACAAACTGCCTCAAGAAACGTTGGTTGTATTGACATGGACCACTTAATTTCAAAATTTCAACCAAATCGGGGGGTTACACTTCACACCATCGCATTGTTAGTATTTTTCCCGGAAGTCAAACTTATCTCATTTTATGTCACTGCTCTGCACTTAAATTAACCGTGAATCCGGTAGTGTGCCGACAAGCAAAAAATTTTGTAGTTTCAATTCACAAGTCTGCGTGTGTTTGCCAGGTTGCATGTGTGTAAGTACTTACGCCTACTTGCACACGAGCAATTAAGTACATAGTCCCTCTTTTATTTAGCTGGAAGTAGAATGGGTCCAATTAATGAGACCAAAGGTTAAACGGGTACCTATAAAAATCAATCGATTCGTACCACATTTTTAAAAATAGTGTTACCCTTTTTGAAAAGTAAATGCATTGTGAATTCTAAATTCAGTAAACTATGTATATAAAATTCAGCGTAAACTTTGCACTTTATCAGGTTCACGTTACTCAGGATTTAGCTTATTTTGCTCAATATAGAGTTTTAAGTTCTAAAGGGTAACCTTATTTTTGTAGGATAATTAGCGGATTAAATTTGCTACATAATTGAATGAATAGAATGCACAAGTTAAATTGTTTTTCATTGTAATTGGGATGGATTTATAGAAAACATGGATTGATTTTTTTCGTGTTTAAAGAATGGACATGGATGTCATAGACGTTGATCCGTGGATAATAGATAACCCATTCGACTTCCTGAACAGCTCCGACACGAGTCCATTGTTGTATGAATATAATTAAACACTAAATACTTCCGCATTTCTCAGGGTATCTAAAACTCTCCGTGTCGTCAAAATAAGACGTTTATAATTTGTATCGACTTAATTTAGGATCTGCTCTTAATTACATATACATATCCTAGTAAAAATTTGGTAGATCAGAATATTGTTATATGAACAAATACATACATACATAATTACGCAAATCCATGGATTGAACAGATTTAAGAGAAATTGGAAGATTTTGGACAGAATGTAGTTTTAATTTGGTCAACTTATTTCACCTCCAAATGAGCATTTGGAGGTGACATATTCCTTCGCAGCAGAATTATCAACATGCTAATAAAGTACGTACTTTTATCTTGGTAAACAATGGAAATTCACCAAATTACCACTCTTTAGAGGAGACGTGTATACTCATAAATGCTAACGGATTAAATTAAAAGGCCTTGATTCCAGATAATCGCTCCTACAAGATAGGTGATTAAGGCTGCTGGCTTAAATATTATAAATACTTAATTTGGAAAGGTGGATTAACCGTGTTATCGTTCTTCTGTGGTGGATTTGTTTAACCCCACAAAAGATTTTTATGGTAAGCCGGATAGCATTTTCTCCTCGTCTCGTAAAAATAATAAGGCAGCTTTCATACACTCTTAGAAATCTACTACTAAATTAACACTGAGCTTTATTCATGCATATATGACTCAACCGAAGTGGTGCATGGTGATAAAAGTACCGTGTGGTAGTAAACTTGGTATTAGAGTTTTACTATGTCGGTGGCAAGTTCTTACTGACCGGTATAATTCTAATACCAAGCGGTAGCAACTTTCACCCTGGGAAATCAATATATGATTGACCATACCAGATTTCTAACCGTGTAAATACATATTAAATTGATTATACTATTGACACTTGACGTATAAAAGTAAATAAATAAATCAATACTATGACCATGTTGACGTGCAGTACATACTTTCATTAAGGATTGTACATGTATTATGTCATCAAAAAACGCTGACCATGGTCCCATTCACCCCGTTCCAAATCCCACTTATGCTAAGCGTAACATGAATAAACCGTCGCAAACGCGCATACGGAAGTAGCTTCAGACTACTTCACTCCAAGCACTCCCACGACATCGCGGGAACACTTGATTTTACTGTATTTCATCTATACATTCAATTTTTTCAAAAATCTCATTTTGCCCCGACCACACCCCCAGTGACGAGGGGGTGTGGCACAACTCGGGAGCACTTTATTCTACTGTATTTCATCTATGCATTCAATTTTTTCAAAAATCTCATTTTGCCCCGACCACACCCCCTGGCGCCCGGGGGGTGTGGCACAACGGGGGAACTCAAAATTTCACTCCATTTCATCCATAGATTCAATTGCACTAAAAATCTCATTTTGCCCCGACCACACCCCCTGGCGACCGGGGGTGTGGTCCGGTTGCACCCAAAAGTTGATAGGATCCTCCCCCTGGGGTATTATGTATGATGGCGAAAACCGATTTCGATTATCTTTATCCGTTCTCCCGTTATCCTGCTGACAGACAGACGGACAGACAGACAGACAGACAGACAGACAGACAGACAGACAGACAAAGTCTTCACATAAAGTAGCTGAAGCTACTTAATAAAAACATATGAGACCGCAAAACCAGCCATACACTTTTTTGAAGACGCAATATATGCACGTTCCCTTACCTTACTCTCTTTCTCCCCTTCTTTCTCTCCGTCTGTTTCTCTCCCTGTCTTTCGTTCTCTGTACATTGAAATGTCATCGCACCTATTACAACATACTTAATGAGTACATTGCCTCCTTACTGTTGCATAATCCAATGCCGCTAAATTTTAGACAGAGAAAGCAATACACGTATAAACCAAGAAATTTCATTTTCTCACTTTTATCTGAAAAGTCAAAGAATCGGCTCTTCAGTATTTGTGTGTCACTAGCGGATTACACTGCTCCCGTACATATGTAAAATACTCGTCTAAGGACGCATGTTTAGACAAAAGGTTACCATTTACATACACATTCTTTCAAATAATGTTACTCTTTTGAAACGTAAGTAACTCTTAATTCAGTATTAGGTAGACTGTTAAAAATTTGGTATAGTCACATATCCATATTCATACATACTTCATAATAGTATTTAATTGGTAATAACTCTTTACCGGAATTGTAGTAGTTTATTGCAACAATACTAAACAGTAATTCCCGTTATTACCATTATCGGCTCTGACTTTATAGATTTGTACGTCATTTAATCCAGATTTTAAAATAAGATAAATTCAGAAGAATCTTAAGTTGATAACGGATAAAGTTTCCTCTGGATTTAGTATAGTTTACGTAATATAGAATTCAGATAACATGTAGCTACGTTTCAAAAAGGTAACATTATTTTTACGAGTGCATGCTGCATTTATACCCGGCTGTCCATTATTTGGGAAAAATGAGGTGTCAAGTTTTGCATATTCGCGTATCTTGGAGAGAGCTTTGTCAAGGCGTAGTTAGAGAACTGATTGGATCCTGCCTCCTGATCGTGGTCGGGTGTGGAAGCGTGCTCTCGGCAAATTTTAGTAATCCTAAAGTATTCAATGTCACTGGGGTCGCACTTTGTTGGGGGATGATGATAGCGTCGCTGGCTTTTGTAAGTCAATATTTTGCATATTTATGTACACTCCTGAAAGTAATGTTAGGCTTTTGAAATGTGCATAAGTGCACTTTCAATTTCAGATTCGATAAAATACACTAAATTCAGGGAAAGGTTAACCTGATTAAAGTTTACTCTGGATTAGGTTAATCTTACCCTGAATTTAGTGTAGTTTACGTAATCTGGAATTCAGAAAGGATTTAATTTGACAAAATATGTATGAAAATTGCCTAAATAAACTGATTTTATTGAATATTTATGTATTTATCTAGACTTTGGAGTGCCACATGAACCCCGCTGTGTCATTTGCGCTCGCATCAACCGGACAAATTCCTCTGTTAACGTGTGCCCTCTACATTGTGGCGCAATGTATGGGGACAACTCTGGGGGCACAGATTCTGGTGGGTTTCACCCCCAAAAAGTTTACCTGGTCGTTGGGAGTGACCCAGTTGGCGAAGGGCGTATCACCCATGCAAGGTTTGGTATTTTATGGCTTGCTCAGAATTAATAGACTACATATCTTTAATTGTGCACAAGTTAGGTATAAAATGAGTTCCAGATATTGACGTTGTTTTGTGAAATATATGTTTGTAGCCCTTGGAATGGAATTCATCTCCACTTTCCTTCTTCTTTTAGTGGTTTCTGCTGCAAATGATACGTCACGCGGTACCAGCGAGCAACCGGGAGGCACCTATATGAGCACTTCCTTGAAATCCGTATCATCAAATTTAGTGGTTGGATTATGCGTATCAGCGCTGATACTGTTCTTTGTGAGTGCATAAAATTTCTCTACACTTTTAGAAATAATATTTCCATTTTCAGCAATTAATGTACATATTCTGAATTCAGTTTTAAGTAAACTTTCCTAAAACTAGAGTAACGTTGACTCGATAAAGAGTAAAGTCTGCTCACTCCGTATTTCTTATCTTTCACTTAATATTAAATTTAGAATGTTTTTACTTTTCAAAAGAGCAACATTAATTTTAAGAGTGTAGCATAATTTGAGCTATTAAAATATAGATAATTTCTAACACGATTTAGGGACCTTTCACTGGCGCTAGTATGAATCCCGCCAGAACTTTTGGGCCATCCTTTATCACCGGAAATTGGAAGAATCACTGGATCTATTGGCTTGGCCCGATACTCGGAGCTTTCACGGGGGTCGTCTGCTACCATTTCTTATTCCAAACCCCACAAAAATCCAACACTCGTGAACCACCAGTTATAAAAAATGAAAGCAATGGCCATATTCCCCGAGTAGAGGAAAAAGGCATTCACTGTGTGACCCTGGGGGCGTAAATACTCGAACATTTCCAAGCAAAAGCATGCATACAAATGTACGTCCTTCACCCACCAGGATTTTGTTCCCGTACACTTTGAATTTACCGCGATTTACATGCTAAAAATCGGAAAAATAACGTTTTAACTTCTCTATTTAACGTAGCGTGTTCATCTTATTTTTTTCTTAAGTTGGTAAATACTGCAAACCTTTCATAAGTTTTGAATATTTCATTCTACATCCGTGTTGGAATGTGAAGTTGAAAGTACATGCACAAATTCGTCCAAAAACTAGTCGATCAATAAATATATGCAGGAAACTGTATGTACAAATTTTTCGAACATATGTATCCCCCGCAAAGGTTAATGCATATTTCTAAAATAAGGAAACAATGATGTAATCTATGACAATTAAGTTTAAAAAATATCACTTATTTATTTACAAGCTACTGTATTTTAGTCTAGTTACAAATATTTTTTAAATTGTACATATAAAACCAAAATCAGTTTTATAAAAATATGGAAAATTAAACAATTGTCTTTAATTAAACTATGCCAAAAGTAACGACTAGAATAAATAGGTCACCGGTTGCTTTCCGCACTCCAAATTGCGTCACAACGGAGGACGTAATAGTGACACACTTTTCTTGCATGGTCTCCCTTGAAAATCTCGAATGACCGTGATACGGTAACACTGGCACCGTGTAAGATTGCTCCATCTAGTGATTCATTGTATTAAATTGTTGTTTGCAGCATGGGTTATTTGCACTCTTTGAAAATTGATCGCATTTTCCTAACGTTATCGATGATTTGTACTCTATTGATGATATAACTCATCTTCAAGATGAGCAATATCATCTGTAATCACCGACTGTTAAATTTTTGAGCAGTTTTGGACTCTAGCGTAAAGTGTACAAATTCTTTGAAAAAATTATCAATTAATAATTTGAGGCCAGTTTCTCCTGAATTCATTTCTGACTAGTTTATAGATATATTTACAGCTTATTAAGGGTTTGGTCTAAAAATAAAAACAAAAAGTTACAAATTTTGCATTTCTTTAAAACTTTTTCGTCAAAAATTTCCTCGAAAATTTATCTGGGAGTCCAAAAACGCTTAAAATTTCAATTTTGTACAAGATGGTGACTACCATCCATTATCTACAACTCATCGGCCACACTATATATTTTCTATTACTTTTCGTACATTTAATGAGCTCACGTACCTTTCTTGGGTTACCTGTGTCACTCTTTATATTCAAATAAAACACATTTTTCTCAGCGGTTTTGTCATTTCCCAGCACGGTTGCCCAAAAATGTACGGATTTCATCTCGTAAGAAGAATGAAATAGGAATATCTGACCGTTCATATTTAACATTCTGGGGATCTCGTTATGTCCAGAATCTTATGTAAAAAAAAGTTAATTTTATAAATATATATTTATGTATCACATATTTCCTTCCATAACATTTTTAAGAGTATTCCTTACTTGCAAAATTATCTCCACTAATTGCAAAGACAAAGTCGTAAGTTATATGTTTCCCATCAGTCCCTTCCTTAACATTATGCATGCTTTGTAAATGCTCGGTGAAAGTTTTGAAAGGGACTCGAATCTTGTCGCATCTTTGCTTCTGAGTAATATCGCATACTACGTCCCTAGAAAAATGAAAAATTGATTACTCGAAATCGGAAAGAAACTACAACTAATCTGGCAAAAGATTGCTGGGTGAAAAATTTAAGGGATTTTATGCATAAACTCGGCTGGGTTTTATGCAGAAAATTGGCAGGATTTTATGCATAAAAATGTATGCCGAAACAATGTCCACAAAATATGCAGAATTATGCATTATTGTGCTAAACCTTTCTGCAGAATATACCTGATAGAAGTTTTATGCAGAATCCTTCATACATTTTCTGCATAAACCATTGTTCCGGCCACTTGTGTAGGATTATGTCAAATTCGACATACGATTTTCACCCGGGTTACTACCAAGAATTCATCTGACTCTACCAGATAAACAAGTATTAATCGATAGTTTTGTATAAAGTACACATGAATTAAAATGAAAATTTCTAACTGAATTTACCGTCACAACGTGCTAATTTTATGTCTGAACATATTCACTCATTTATTCACCTGTAGTAGCATTTTGCCACGTGGTACTTCGCCCCCGTCGCAGCCAGTGGGACAACGCAGCCGGACTCAAAGTTGTAACATTTCCATTTCAAATCAAACTAGGATTATTAATTTTTGCATTATTAATTTGGTACAAGATTCCACATTATTTTGTTTACTTACTTGTCGTGACTGTCTCTCAGCTAAGTCTGATACTTGCAAATTTGTTTTACAAAGTCCACATTGGGTCATTTTCTCGGCGCAAAATCCACACACAATGTGGCAATTGACACATTGGTGGATCGGAGATGCGGCAGGATCCATACAAATGGTGCACTCGAGGACAACACTTAACCTAGGTTCTGTAGGATGAGGGGCTGTCTATCGGTTAAAATACATATATTTATGATTACACTCTTAAAAATAAGCTTACCCTATTGAAAAGCAAATGTACTCTGAATTTTATATTAATTAAACCAGGTATCTATTTATACAATATTCATGAGTATCGTTAACTTGCTAGGAGAAAACTTAACTCTGGATTTAATATAAAATTCAGGGTGCATTTAAGTATGCACTTTTCAAAAGTGTACTCTCTAAATAAAAATGAGTAACATTTACTCAAGGTTGGGTAAAAAAAGAGGATGACAAACCCAAAAGGTAAAATTTAGTCAACGTTGTTGAGCAAATTTTACACAACTTTGGACAAAATTTGCAAACCCTTGGACAAATTTGTCATTCAAATTTCTACTCAACCTTGAGTAAATTTTATTCATTTTTATTTAGAGTGTAACCTCATTTTTAAGAGTATGCTACATACATATTTTCAAAAATTTAGAACTACCTTTTTTGTCATTAATTCAGAATTGTCCCTTCCTCTAGCCAGTCTCACTGCTGGGAAAGTATGAAAATCAGCATCTGTTAAGATACCAAGTTTAACCATTGGCAACCGTGTGTCATCTTTCGGACACTTAACCTCCAATCCCGGTGACTTCGCTAAATCCGCTTTTATCCCGATCCAGCAAAATTTGCACAGGGCATGAAAGCAATCTTGAAGAGCGTAGAATTTCGCACGTGTATTGCAATGAGAACAAATTGAGGAAAAAGGTCGTCCAAATTCCATTTTTTAGCACGGAGAAGACGAATTTAATAACTGGACAGATTCAGAGTTATTAAATACTGCAAAACTTTATCACGTAGATTGGATGTAAATTGTGCTCGATCAAGTGGTTTTAATCTTGATTCGTAATCGTTATTAAAATTTAAATTAACTTTTTAATTGATAATTTAGCCTAATCAATGATGGGTTTTGAGTGAGATACAACTTAAATGCGCACTGTATTTACGGTACATAAAACATATGTACATATGTAGAAGGTCACTCGTCCGACTGATCAAGTGTGCACATACGATCTGCACACATTTGAGGTAATGACGATTGTGCATATTTGCTAAATTAGTCATACATGTAACTTACACATGTATGCAAAAATACTGATGTCGAGGCCCTACGATGGTATCAAAGTGCAATTTGGCGAGCATTTCATGCTTCCCAAATTTTTAGTAGCCTGGATGCAGACTTATATCTGTAGAAATAATTTTGCACACGTCGTAATTTTTTTCTTTCTGCTGTATCTTAATAAAATACATGTTCGTCCAAAAGGCAGAATTTATTTAAACATTAAATCGAAAAGAGTAAATAATTTGAAATAATTTAAGAAATTAATTCACATTAGTCAGAATCGCTGACCAATCCGTTCCTAGAATTTTTCCTAAATTGAAATAATTAAGTTTTTATCTGGGAAATGTTGATCGGGGGGACGTACACTCTTAAAAATGCCGTTACCCTTTTGAAGATCAAATGTACTTCCAATTCTATATTAAGAAAACTATAGTACATAAACCCAGGGTAACAACGGTTTACTTAATATAGGATTGCCTCTAAATAATTATCAAAAGGGTAACCCAATTTTTTAGAGTTTTTTCCTCACCTTTTGCACTATTCCAACCGATTTGTTCCAAAACACGGAGCAAACTTCCTATCTGAGCGTTTTCTCCAGCTTTTCCCACCCAGAAAGCAATTATTGCTTGGCAGGCCGAGTGATATTCTTTTGCTGTGACGTTATCTCTCACAATAATCTGTTGACTCGTTGATAAGCCAACCATTGGGTGCGCACTCAACATGTCAAGATATCTTCGAAAATATACACTGCGTCTCAAAATTAGCGCAAGCCTTGACTGTATCTCTTCAGCTTGACGTTTTGTGTATGAAGTGCTCCAGACTGGATTAAAATGAAATTTTAATTTCAAGTTATCCATCAATTTCATAAACTCATAACTTTCATAAACTGTTCATTTTCCATATTGCTTGAACACACACTTAAAAATAGTGTTATCCTTGTAAGAGGGAAATACTTTCTCAATTCTACATAAATTCAGTAACCTGCACATTTAAGCCAAATGACGTTAACTTGATAAAGAGCAAAGTTGACTCTGGATTAAGTATAGTTTACTCAATTTAGAATTCAGACTGCATTTATTTTTCAAAAGGGTAACATTATTTTTAAGTGTGTTGGAAAACGTCTTTTCATACCTCTAAATTTTCCGAATGTATCTCGCATATAGCGAGGTTCATCATGCTGGCATAGTTTCTGTTAATACAAATCAGTACTAATTAAGGTTATTGATTTCATTCGTCCCGATTGTTTTTTTTAATTAGCCAAAATTAGGATAATGTCAAAAGGTAAGAGTTATATAAGGCTACATATGATTAGTATAAATTGCGGAAAGACTAGTTAACAATTTATCTCTGATCAAAAATTTACTTCCGAAGCTTTCACCGTTTTTGAGGTACCAGTTTTCAAATAAAATTACACGAAAAAACGGGACCAATTAAATTAACACTCTTTATAAATCTATACTGCATGATTTCAATCAAAAATTTCTCACCTCCAAAACTCCCGCCGCCCAGACAGCATTAGTAATCGGTATGTTATCCAGCATCCCGACAATATTTGTATAAAAGTTGTCATCCACACGGCTTAATTCATCTTGAACGGTCTCAATCCTACTCAAAATCTGACTTTGTCCTAACGACTGTTTCGACTCGTCGACCTTCTCCAATAATAAAGAAATCTCTTTTTGCCCCTCAACCACTCCCTTGACACCCTTTTTTGCCGCGTTTAGTTGAACGTGTGTCACATTGGACAGTAAATTTAGCCTGGTTTCATACTCTTCGTCTGCAAGCATTCTTAGTTTCCTTTTATAATCGGTCAATGTCACGTTCAGTTGTAACGTTTGACCTTGAAATTTCTGAACGGAGGACATGAAATTCCTGTATAATCGCTGCAATCGTCCCCCTAGATCGGAGTAAGGGTTGCAGTCTTGTTCCCCTTTAGCATTTACGGTCAGAATGGAAGTGTACCTGTTCAAAAAATATGTAGCTCTTCATTCTAAATTCATTCAGTTTAAAAGTTGGAAAAATTATTCATTCGTTATTCATTCATTCAAAATTTGAAAATACATATGTATTTTTAAGTATTCGTTTATTATTCATTTGATATTCAATTTGCCTTATTGGACATATTTCTAAAAATACCTCATGTATTAAACACAGGGTGAAAAATGCATAATGAATAACATAATTAATTCATTCTTCATGAATAAGAAATGAATCAATCTTTATTCAATATTCACTCATTAAAAAATTCAGAAAAAAATTATTCACGTATTATTAATGAGTTAATTGAATAATGAATGAATTATTCATACTCCACTATTTAAACAAATGAATGTGAACAGATACATATGCATCTGAGTATAGGCTTACGATTTTAGCGCCACCGTGACCCCCTCGTTGTGCCAAGAATAGAATTTTTTGCTGTCGACTAACTGACATCGGTCACCCATTCGTTTTTTAAATTCTGCCTGATACGCGTGCATGCCAACATTCACGGCAATAATTTTCGGAATAGAGTGAAACAGTAGAGGCGGAGGGGATGCCCGAATCCTGTGAAGGTGAGCGGCTCGGCATAAATGCGGGGACAATCGGGTAACATTTCGAATTAAGACTTCAGAATCGACCAAATTCTCGGTCAAGGTTTCAAATGAAAAGCACATGTCGTCAAATCCTTCCGGAAAATATTTCAGCGCAGAGTTTAGTTTTGCTAGTTGGTCCCTTCCAGTGATCAGCATGGCGGTCGGTGTGTCAATGAATACAGCAACGCCAGAAAATGTCGTGGACATGCTAACATTCAACTCACACTTTGAATTTCCAGCCTGATTTGAAAGTTTGCTTTCAACGTCCGGGTTTTTAACATCGCCGGTTTTACTGCTATCTTGGACGAAATACATTAATTTTTTAGGTAACGTCAACGTCACCCCATTTCTGAAAAAATGAAAATTTGTTTTAAAAAAATATTATCTTTTTGAAAATCAAATGCACTCAAAATTCGACATCAAGTAAACTATACTAAATCCTGAAGATCTTTTCTCGTCGTCAAGTTAACGTTACTCTAAATTTATGTAGCATAGTTTACTTAACATCAAAATCAGATTGCGTTATTTATTTACTTTTCAAAAGGGTAACATTATTTTTAAGAGTGTATTTATCTATACTAGAAAAAACAATTCTTATACAATTAATCTTACCCACTATCATTTTTTCGAGCCAATTGTCTCACAACCTCTGTATACTCCGAGAAATACTGGAGATGAAGGTCTGTTAAGTAATCCGTCTGGATAATAAAGATTGATGAGAGTAACATGCAAGTTGCAAAAATGTTACACATGACATCAAAAGGTGGATCGAATTCTAGTCCATAATTTGGACCGAGAAGAATTATAAAGATATCTCCGCCATCTCGAGGAATCCGGATGGGTTCAGATACACTAATTTTCCACGCTCCGTCAGAACAATCCAGATTTTTTGAAATATCAATCGTGTCCAAAATATCGTTTGGAAATCCTTCCTCCGAGAGGAATTTGCATAGCACGTTTCGCAAGAGGCGTGAATCCTTTAATGGAGGCCTAATGATGGAAATAATGACAAATTTCCTGTCTCCAACTTTTTCTAAGGGTTTCAACAGTTGACCGATATTAAGGAGGGATTCGTCGTGAAAATTTGACTCACGGTCCATTATACAGAGTAGAATATAATGTCAATTATAAAAAAAATTCGAAATTGTGCAATTGTTTTATGTAATTCGTGATGTTTTTATGTAAGATTTATTTCACTATGAAATTTACACGATAAATATAGTGGGCGTATAAATAATACGCAGTATACGAACGTATGTATCTATCATTTACACTGTGGATCTGTGAAGTCATGTGTGGTTCAAGTTCTTTATGAAGTAAGTAACTTATCAGGCACGATAAGCGGGGATGATAAGGTGTTATGGTGTATGCAATGCGCTTATGTATCATAAACTATACTTAACTATACTATAAGTAAATACATACATAGGGTGTCCAGTTAAGTTTGCACAATCCTCATAGTTCCAAACAGTTGCACATTTATTTTGGCAAATGAAAAATAAATACAAAAAAGGGACGTTCATAAATTATTTAGCAACAGAGGGGGGAGTGGGGTTTTAAGCCAAATAACATCGTGCCTTTATGAAACATTGTAAACGGAGTGAGAAGGTTTAGAAAACTGCGATGTTTGAGTTACATAATTTCGGAACATCCCCAAATATTCGCATTGTGCCGCAAGTGTGATAGTCGATATGAGTAACATACAGTGTAAATTTAGTACGTTTAGTTGTCCATGCCATAGAAAGGAAGAAATCAACTGTAATTAGCTAGTGGAATTATGGAAAATGTGAATTCTTTGTAATTTGCTTATGTATTTAGTTTAAAATTTTATTAGCAATTGGATATGCCGATAGATAATTGAACTGAAACAATTATGTAGATCAGAAGAAGTTAATGCAACCAATAGCTAGCAATAAATGAATTTTAAAATTTGGAAATCCGAAAATCTAATTTCCAGGAAATGTTACCAGAAAATGACCTACTCATTACGTGCTTTTGCACATACATCCATAACCAAACACTATGCCACAATTACCGTGACAGCATTGCGCTGCGCTGAACGGGTTGTAGGCGCTTGTACACGAGCAAGACTCCCCATGATCCGCGCATCGTCGCGCCTAAGAAATTTAATTAATAAACCTTGATTATCTAGCTTCCAAGTTTAATTGGTACGAAATACCGATAAGGTAAAAACTTACTCTCGGATGTGGCACAGAATGCCCTCCAAAATTCTCAGCATCGGGATGTTCTGCAGACACTGGTTCGGCAATAATGTAGGCGATGGTGGCAATCAAGACCAGGGCGAGAACAATAGTCTTCATCTTCTCAGAGTTCTTCAGAGTTTATAAAATTATTGTGAGTTGACGATAATTTAGGAACTGGAAAGTGTTGATGGTATTTTAGCAATGACAGATACTGGAATGAATGTCACAGCAAAGTTTGTTCCCTTCTTATACTAACCTTTGTGGAAAAATCTTTCTTGTTTTCGGAGCAGGATGTAACTTTAAATTTGTTTCCCATAGCATCAGTACAAATTAGATAATTAGTCTTGTTGTTTTTAGTAAGCGAGGTTTTCCCCATAAATTAGTTAGAAGAGGGTTTATCAAATTACGTGAGTTAGACGCGATATTACCAAGTAAAACAAAGACTAAATCGATTTTAGGCCGTATTATGTATGTCAATTCTGAATTGTCGAAACCCATTAGTAATCACCTAAAAAAATCTGCCTAATTACACTCAAAGTGATATCTTCAGTATTTTAGCATTCCATAGAGCATACGAAACTGAATAAGTTGAACGCCAAAATTAAAATAAGTGGTGGTAAATAATAGAATACCTATGTATGTTGGATAATTCTGTTAAATGTAATCCGAAACAGCAGCGGCCCTTAAGTGGTGACCCAGAGGTCACAGGACGGTATAAACAATTTTCCTCACCTATATTCACACCAGTCTCTAATTTGGCATCATTTTTAGAAAAAAAATTTTTGGGCCGGTGACGTCGCAAAATTAAAGGTATCATGTGCTCTCCAAACTTTTCACTCTAAGAGGCTGAATAGCAATAATTAGCGTATAATCTGCTACCGCAGCTGGTCTGGCTGCCTCTATTAATGAGTAGTCTGGTCAGCCCACAAAGTACATATTATGTAAGTATGTCCATACTTCGCCCATCGTAAGAATCATTCATTCATGTTATGTATTTGGATTAATCTCATTAACTGTGTCTAACAATGAAACCTTAATGAGTCTAATGTTTGCATGAAGAAGTCAAATTTTAGGCAAACTTCTCCTTACGTAAACATCCTCTTAATGCCAAATCTCATTGCTAAATATTTAGTCTCAGCTTCTTAATGCAAAGGTTTTGTCCGTCCGCCTGTCCGTCAGCAGGAAAACGGATCGATATAATTGAGCTCGGTTTGATCGAGGGCATCAGACATACATATAACCCAAGGGGTGGATTCGTTAGATGAATCGGCAAAATCTCTAAAGAGATTTTGGGGCCAATACCCTTTGCTGGTACGGGAGTGTACATAGTGGGGAGAAGATGAGATTTTTACTTAAATTGCATTATCTCAAGGATAGCCGCTTTAATGTGTTTGTGTGTCTGTCTGTTTTTTAAACTCCTGCACCACTAGGAGCAGGTTGAGATTGGTCGACGGGCCAAAAGTGACTCGCAGATGCGGGCTATACCGTGTTACATGCAATACAGTGAATTTTAGTATCCCCGCGCAGTTCGGGGTGTGTTTGGGGCAAAGTGAGACTCAAGCTACTTCTGTATGTGCGTTTGCTACGGTTTATTTTATACTGAACAATTAGCATAATTAGCTTACCCATAATGATTGGACAAGTACAAAAATCCAGTCCCATTTCGAGATTATCAAGAGGCCATGAAGGACAACGTTGATCAACTTGTCTGGGCTCATCCGCCTCCTAATAATAATTCACCTCATGATTCCGCATCTCAGTTATTTTACCGCGTTGTCCTATTTTTAAAAAGTGTTGGCAATCTACCCGTCCAAACGGGTCGGGTGGCAAATTTTGGACATCATCATCGTCAAATTATAAATTATACGTTTTCCATCAAGTCATTTACCTTCCCTTACTGCTTCATCGTCACCTTTCTCGTCGTCCTCTTTTGGGGACAATTTATCGCGGAATATGCCAACATGAACTTTTTTAGTTCTGCAATGTATGTACATATTTAACCTATTGCACTCTTAAAAATATTGTTACCCTTTTGAAACATGCATCAATGCAGGCTGTATTCAATATTATATAAGCGTACTAAATCTAGAGTAAGGTTAGCTTGATAAAGAGCAAAGTTTGCGCTGGATTTAACTGAATTTACTAAATTTAGAATTCAAGGTGGATTTACACTCTTAGCAAAATGGTATTAAATCATTACTCCCCGGAGTAATTAATACAAAAGGGTACCACTAGTTCTAAGAGTTATTCTCTTGCCCACAGGTCAAACTTGATTAATTAATTGGGTAATTATTTTATTGCTTCTAGCCTTATCGAGCAAAATTTTGAAGTCGTATCGGGAAATTCTTCCACTTCGCATACAAATAATCAGTTGAATCCTCTCAGCTTTGCGCAAACTTTGGTCTACGTCGTCTTTCCTCTTACTTGCGCTATTCAATTCATAACTACGATCTGCACGTCGTCAAGCTTTGCCAAATATGCGAATAGCTGGACCACGTTTGAAGAGAAATTTCAAGAAATTTTTAAAATTAGTTCATTCATTAGCGAACCCGTATTTCCTCGAACGATACGTTTTCATCGATTTGCCTGGAATTTCACAATTTTTCTAGTCGTTTTAATGGGGCTGACCATTTATCCGATGATGAAAGCACAAGAGCTCCTCGCCACCAGTTCGATCAAAATGACGTGGCCTGTCCATCTGGTGTCCGGCTTGACCATTTTGACCAGTCTCCTTTTAGACTTGAGGAGCAATCTGATGCTTTTTATTAATGAGGAGGCATTTTCTCAGGTAAAATATTTTACCTGAGATTTTATATTTTATATCACCATTTCTGCAGGTACACTGCAGAAAGGGTGATATTTTTACCATTGTGCAGACTTTTTTCTGATTATGCAAATGTAAAACTCAAATTTCCTTGATATACCTGTGTGATTTTGATTTTTCAGAATGCGCTAATTTACTCTACATCCATGGAGATTTAAACTTTTATAGAAATTGAGAGTTCTGAGAAACTACGCCACTGGCAGTCTCCGAAGAATTTTTACTAAATATGTATCTTGACGGGGGAATTTGGGGCAATCGAGCAGTTTCTCCGAATTCTCAATTTCTATAAAAGTTCAAATCTCCGTGGATGTAGAGTAAATTAGCGCATTCTGAAAAATCAAAATCACACAGGTATCTAACATATGTAAATCTGAGTTTTACATCTGGAAGAACTGCATTGCACGTGAAAATACTTAGATTGGAATCAAGATTCAAGCCGAAATTGAGACTTCCTCGCAATCCCCTCGCAAAATCCAGGCCGGTTTAGTGCAGGATTGGAAAGTTCTGATTAGCTCGGCAAGTAACCAAGCGACATCTGGTGGAGAAATTTTGAGCACGGCTTTGCTCATGGAATTGTTTAATTTGTGTTGTACTTGGTGTTCCGTCATCTACCAGACAATCTTCTTCGCACAGAGGGACGGACTCGAATGGTTTTCATTCAAGTATCTTGGACCAAGTTACTTCCTGTGTGGAGTTACGTATATTCGTTTAGCTTCCAAAATATTTTTTGCAGAAAAAATGGAAATTGTGGTGAGTTTTTTTTCAACACCCTTTATTACGAGATTGCGTACGCACATTTGACCAAAGAGTGCTGTGTTTCACACTGACCATTTTTTGGGGTTAAGGAAGCTAAAATTGTGAAAACATTGCAACTCATGGAAATTCGTCACAATGATTTAACAACTTCTCTGGAGGTACGTGAGCTGTACATAATTATGTAACAATTCAGTACCAGAATTTCGCTATGGTTTTAACCAATGTCCAAAGCGGGTTATATAAGCCGTTTTGGGCACAGCATTTTGAACGTCCAAAGTGCCTAAAAATTTTGGACACAAAATAAAAAATGGGGCAACATGTTATAAGTTCTTCATAGATAATTGAATCTTTTCATAATCCGGTGTAATCTCCGATTTATTAGCTGTTTACATTTTGTTGTGTGTTACGCGACCTGGTTTTAATATTTTTTGGTACATAAAAACAAATGTGTTGCAAATTTAGTTGTTAAGAAGCACAAAATTAATAGGA